AAAATAATCGAATCGTTGGGTCAGGAAATCGATACTGAATCGAAACGCCATGATGGGTGTGATTTACACCCCTACTAGGAGATAGTGTTACGATCTAAAAGTTCCCTATAGAGCCTCACATTTGGCTCTTGGTCTGTATCAGCATCCCTTCAGGTATCAGGCAGCACCATGTCTGGTTCCGCTCCAGGTTTCTTCCCGTTAAAGCAGAGGTTTTCCTCTCCACTGTCGCCATATGCTTATGAGGAATGAATCCTGTAAAGTAAACATCTGAATGCAGTCAGCTGGGTTTCCCTACATAGCCAATCTGTCTGTAAGAAGGATGATGTATTTCCTGCGATGCACGTTTAGATGATGTGCTGTGAATCACCTGAGCTGCTCTGGGCCCCCTGTGTCTGCAGGACCAGGCTTTGGGCGAGCTGGAGAAGAACAGCGATAAGCTGCAGCAGCGCACCTCGTCATCAGACAGCAGCCAGCCGGCTCACCTCCACCAGCTGCTCTGCTCCCTGCAGAAGCAGCTCCTGGCCTACTGTCACATCAACGCCGTCACTGAGGTATGGAAAGAAAGCGCTGTCTGTGACTGCAGCAGACGAACCCATCTAACCCAGATCACCGCGTTTCCTGCAGAACTCCAGCAGCGTGGCTCTGCTCCACAAGCACCTGCAGCTCCTGCTGCCTCACGCCACCGATATCTTCTCGCGCTCCGCTGCCCTGCTGAAGGAGAGCTCCTGGAACGGCAGCATTCGAGAGAAGCTTCAAGGTGAGCAGCAGCCCCTCCCCCCCCTGAGCACGGTCCTGTTTGGTTTCATCTGCTCATCTGTTCTTCTGTCGCCTCCAGACGTGATCTTCGTGTCGGCGGCGGGCAGCATGCTGTGTCAGATCATCAACTCGCTGCTGCTGCTCCCGGTTCCGGTGGTGAGGCCGCTGCTGAGCCACCTGCTGGACCTGCTGCCGCCGCTGGACCGACTCAACAGGCTGCTGCCGGCTGCGTCTCCGCTGGAGGACCAGGAGCTGCAGTGGCCTCTTCACGGTCAGACATAATGTCCGATCTAATGGGCTCTTTGTTCTGGCTGGGAAACTCAAAACCGGGTCCCTCCTTCTTCTGTTGCACTATATCTATGATTTTAGCACAAGTAAACCTTAACTTGCTGTTAGGAGGAAATGGTTCCTTGTTAAAGGGAGCTCTTTGTCTCACCTTGAAGGTTTCTTTCTCCGGTTCATTTTCCTGAAAAGAGATCACTCGGGACAAATTCTTTAAATAACGCTTCATAATGTTTATGTATTAGATAACCAAGAGACATGACAACGGATTCTGATAGAAATTGTAATCTTACTCAGATTAGAGAAGTTGCCCAGGGTTACAGAAGGCAGCTGCTCACCTCTGGGCTCACTTCTCGGGAAGTGGCTCTGACAAACAGGTAGTGAATCATTTTCTGCATGCTCCATCCATGGCTCCAGCTTTATCAAATCAATATCATATTACACTCAGGGCTCGATGTTAACCATCGCCTGGGGCAAGTCGTTTTTATTGTCGGGAGAGTGCCCGGCGGGCAAATGCACTGATTGCAAAAAAAAATTATTTATCACTCAAAATGACTTTAAAATCACCGACATTCGCTGAAAACGATCCACAAGCGTTGCCGGCGGCATTTTTTTTGTTTTGTACACATTCTCGCGTGATTTGAAAAAGCTGCGTGATTTTCCGCAAGATGGCGTGATTTTTCTCTCCTTGGGGAGAGAATTCTGCAGAGCAGCAGCTGGATGATGAATTTAATTTATACTAAAATACACGCTAAATTAAAAATGATCAGTCAGGGATTAGGAAAATAATAATAATAATAACTGTATGCGCACAGTGTAAATATTTCTATCATATGGCAGTTTTCTGTACAGTGATCATACATTAAAAAATGTTCATGAAATTTTTTTCTCTTAGACATTGGAGAGGTGCATTTAAATGTTATAGAACTAAACATGTTAAATTGGTGAGTAGTAGTAGTGTAAGTTTTTAACCTGTCAAGTTTTTTTTTAGATTTTTAACATTACTATTTATATTTTTCCAAGCACAGAACAGTTTAAAGCAAAGTTTAGTTTGAAAAGAATGTGCAGGAAGGATTGAAAAGCATGTTAACACGGTAATGTAGGCTTGAGTTCATTATCTGACGCATGCAGATACACACCAGGAACCTGGAAACTTGAAAAATACTGAATTACAAAAAACATTTAAAAAACAAACATGTTTCATTGATATATATACAAAAATGAATATTAGGAGCTATATTTATCAAACATTATACTGGGCAAGTAAAAATTGTTTCTGGGCAAATGAAATGTGAAAGCACACATTTCAATTGCCACACATTTCCTTAACGTCAACCCCTGACACTTTGTTCTTAGCTGAAGGACTCTGCTCTCATTCCATTCCCAAATCTTTGCCATTTGTAGAATGAAGATTCTAATTTTATATAAACAGACCGAGAAACTGGCCTAATTAGATAAACTATTGGGGAAAACGTCAGTTCTGACACGCAACAGGCAGCTAATATTAAGGTGGAATAAACTCACACATCATCAATGATAATTATCCTAACATCCTGAATCTGCTTCACATCGACTGCAGAGACGAGTTCATTCCACCTGAGTGAAGTTGACCCCTCCACCTTCTTCAAATCAGACAAAATTTGTGTCAAACGTTTGTGCCCCATTTGTGCTGGTTTGTGCAGCAAAAATTTTTGTTTGTGCCGCTATCGTTTTAAAGATATAAAGAAATATTTCTAGAGGTCATCAAAGGTCAACCAGCCCCCCCACCGTCTTCAAATCAGACGAAATAGGTGTCAATGAACTCAGCTCCGTTTGTGCAGCAAAAATTTTTGTTTGTGCTGCTTTGGATTTGAAGATTTGAAGAAAGTGGGGGTGCTGGTTGACCTTTGATGACCTCTAGAAACATCTCTTTATATCTTTAAAATGAAAGCGGCACAAACGTAAATTTTTGCTGCACAAACGTAGCACAAGTGTTTGACTCTAATTTTGTCTGATTTGAAGAAGGTGGGGGGGCCAACTTCACTCAGGTGTTCATTCCACAAAATCAACCAGCTGTCGATGCTGAAGTCAGCAGGACGGTGGGATCAGGGTAGATCAGTATCGGCAGACATCCATGGATCGGATTAGAACCTGACTACTTCTCTGCTGCAACAGGTTCAGCCAATCAGAGGAGGCCTAACCTGCTGTTGGATCCAGGTTCTAATAGAGGCTGGAACCTGCTCCTGTTAAAGAGGGCTGTAGGTTCTAATAAGGGTTCTGAGCTAAGTGGCCTTTGGGTTTCCTACAGAAGCTGTCAATAATCCTTCCCACCTGTCCAGGTACGTCGGACGTGGCCGAGACGGCCGCAGGAACGTCGCTGCCGGCGCCAGCGCTGTCCTGGGTGTGGCTGGTGGACCTGGAGCGGACCGTGGCCCTGCTGGTGGGCCGCTGCTTAGGCGGGATGCTGCAGGGCGCTCCCACCTCGCTGGAGGAGCAGGACACCGCCTACTGGCTCAAAACGCCGCTGTTCAGCAACGGCTTGGAGATGGACACTGCTCAGCTGGGTACCGACCGACCCAATCACTGCTCTGCATTTAAAGAATGTTCTGACCAAGAAGATCCTTTAACTCAGAACCTTTTCCAGATTCCTGCATCAGCTCCATGCTGGAGGCGGCGCTTTCAGGGAACGAGGAGCAGAAGCCGATGGACTGCCCTCTGCAACCGGACCTCGGCGTTCTGGTTGACCTGGCTCTGGGTTCCTCCAAAGAACCAGCCAACAGTCTGTGGATCAACATGCAGGACTATGCCCTGAGTAAAGGTCCGCTTCTGGTCCTGTAGCGAACCGCTCCTCACCATCGGACCAGAGCTGGTTCTGACCGCTGTTTGTTCTGTTGCAGACTGGGACAACGCGTCCCTGAATAATGAGTCCCTGCTGGACACCGTCTCGAGGTTTGTGTTGGCAGCTCTGCTGAAGCATACGGGGCTGCTGAGCCCAGCCTGCGGCGAGGGAAGGTGAGTGACCCGTCCGCCACGCTCCCGTTCCCCGTCTTCCTCCGCTAATCGACCTGCTTTTGTTTCTCCGGCAGGTACCAACCGTCCAAGTCTCTGGCAGAGGTCTATCGCAGCGTCTATAAAGTACGGAACCGCCTGCTGGCCTGTAAGAACCTGGACTTTATCCAGACCAGGTCTTCGTCCCGGGAGAGACGGGTGAGCGACAACCAGAACCAGTCAGACCCAAAATGGTAGCAGGATGATTATATTCTGCTAATCCTTCTGCCGCCGCAGATTTCAGACAACCAGGACTCTCTGGACATGGACCCCCAGGAGCACTCGTTCACCCGCACCATTGATGAGGAGGCGGAGCTGGAGGAGAGGGCCGACCGCGAGAGAGAAGACGGACACCAGAATCAGGACGAGGAGGAGGAGGACCGGGATCACGAAGTGATGACAGCTGGAAGTACGTACGCCGTGCTTTGATGCGTTCGCTGCTTCAGAGGTTTGCATCAGCTGCTGTTTTAGCTCCAGGCAGACGGACTGAGCTGGTTGAGATCAGTCAGCGTTCAGTTAAACTCACTCTGGAGAAGATGATCCGCCTGCCTGCAGGTTTTGAGATCCTGCTCATCTGCTGGAAGGAAAGCTCTTGTATCTTTCCATCACAGCATGGGACTGGTTTAATGCTTATTCAGCGCCGTAGAAAGAAAGAGTTACAACAGACCCAGTCACCTGGTTCATGTTGCCCTAATAGTTTCAGAAGATCTCAGCACCGTCGGTTTGTTTGAACGGCTGCTGAAAACTCAATTCAGTTCAGTTTATTTCTATAGCGCCAATTCACAACACATATCATCTCAAGGCACTTTCCAGTTCACCAGATCAT